CAGCGTTCTGATACGGGTATGCAGCCTTCGCTCGCTGAAAGGTCGCTTTGAAAGACGGGGCAAGGAACACGCCTTTGGTTCGGACTGTCAAAAATGATTTACCCCATTCGCAGCTGCGCATGTGTTGTTTCGGCTCAAGAGTTTTTTAGGCGTTTTGACACACTTGCAGTATGTACGTGTGCAATGTTTGGTATGTGTGCACTAGTATATATATATAAGAATTAGTCAGCACGGCCAAACTATTTCAATCGTCTACAGCATCAGTGGTGATTGTAAATATCTGGAACTTTTTTGTGATTAACTAGAATGAAAATCCATTATCTAAAAGGGAGTGTTTTATTTTTCATGTTTCTTTTTTACAAAATACGGGATTATTAAAACCTGTGGAATTCGGTCAATTATATTTTATCAGTCTTAGAGCCCAGTGACTAATCATCGGATTGGTTAGATTTTAAAATGATTGTTATCCGAGACCTTTGACATATTAATCTCCAAAAGGTAAAATTCAGCCACCGAGGATGTATTGATAGCTTGCCCTGTATGGAGACCTAGTTTTTTTACAGAGGAACAATGCGAACACTTTGAGTGTGTCCAAAACGCCATCTCTGAGAACAACATTTTGATGATTAATGTATTTTAATAATTAAAATCTTAAATTGAAATACTTCAACCTCGTGGTTGCAAATATGAATAAAATTTCATTATTTTTTATTAACATTATTATTATTATTAGTAGTAGTAGTAGTAGTAGACTACCAAGTATCTAATTGCATAAAATTGCTGGTGTGTCTATTGAAAACACTAGCACAGAACCGTCGGAAATATACACTGGGTGATAATGAGGGAGGAGATTTATAGGCACCGAAAACACAACCACGTTTTGTTTTTATGGAACACTCACCGCCGGCCTGCTGACCTTCCATCAGCTGTGATCTACACCGACAGATACAGGAAATCAGAAACCCACGTCACGTTGAGAAGAAAACTATAGAAAAGGTGGCTTGAACTGATACACGTCGGCCCTTTGCTATTTACTAGTTTTTGTTTTGGTGGAATCCGTATATAGCCAATAGCCAATAATAATATACAGACGCAATAGTGGTAGGCTACTAGTATGGGTATCTTGGACCCGTCATAGATAGATAGATAGAAGTTTTATTTAGACTGGGTTCCCATGCCTAGATCGATCCATCTGGATCGGTCTAACTCCCTGGGAAGTCTCACTAAATTGCTATCAACTAACCGGCTTAAATTTCTGTCACGCCTACCAAATCAGCTAGGGGGTAAAGATAATTAACCACTTAGAGCTTTACTTGGCATGACTGACATTTAACCCGGTTAAGTTGATGACAATTTAGTGAGACTCCCCAGGGAGATAGATCGATCCAAATATCTGCTGGAATGGGCCCTTATTCTGAATTGTTAGCATCAGAACAAGAAATAAAGGAAACATGTTAGGTGTGCGGCAAGGATCTCCAACGAGCTGCTTTTTATTCACTCTGTATATCAATGACCTAGTGAGGGAGTTAAGAAAGTGCCAAGATGACGGTTTTCTTATGTGGTTGCACTGTTTATTGTTAATGGATGACACTGTTATCTTAGCAACGTCCCGAAAAGCATGCATAGAAAAAGTAAAAATACTAAAACAATTCTGTGCCCAGTCAGGGATGGAGATGAATCAGAGCAAAACCAATATAATGGTTATAAACGGTACCGTTGAAGATAAGGAGGACCTCGAGGTGGAAGGTCTAACAATTAAGACCTGTGACAAGTATTGTTATCTCGGAGCAATGTTCACTCAAGATGGNTTTATTTTTGTGATAATGATTAAATCGATGAAATATTATAATGATTGGAAAATAAATAAAGTCATGTGTACAATTTTGTACAATTAATTTTTTTGCAGTTTCAGTTGCCATTTTTCGTTACATTTGTGATCGTGATGAATTTGAAGATTGACTATTTTCATTGTCATCAAGTAGTAAGGCACAGAAAAGGATTGCTTCTTCTAATAAGCCCAGTATGCAGTCCAGAATAGAATCATTTTTCACTTCAGCTACTAGAATACCTCCAACAGAGCAGCCTTCTCAATACTGTGAACCAGTAGGTGGGCCACTTCTAGGTGGGCACATTAAAAATGCACATTAGAAGTTGAAATCATTTTTGTGTAATGCCAACATTAATGCTATAGATGAATTACAGTGCCTTATTATCCTCCAACTCAGTGGGGTTATTCATATCATGTTAATACAGCTACATGTAGGTTAAAAGTTTGAATAGCAGCTTATGGAATATTTTTGTTGTTTTCTTTTTCTTTATTATTATTTTTTACTTTTCAAACACTGGCAACTTCAAGATGTGACATTTAACTCCCATCCACCTGAAGCTCTGTACATTTTTCTGTATTTTTTTTTCTTTCAGATTACTTGCAATGTGTTGAAATGAAATAGTGCAAAATGTTGGTCTTAAATTGTTTGTTTTATATAATAATAATTATATAATGCGTATGCTGATGTAACCTGGGAATAAAGTGAAATATAAATTCTGTCTTTCTTTGACTTTTATTAAGACCTGTTGGCCCAGTGTTGGGTACAACAGTATTAACTTGGATCTTGGTTTCTACCTAATATTGCTAAGGCATGCTCAAGTTTTTCTTAAAATATTATATACATTGATTCACACATTTAGTCTGTTTTATGACTTAATTTTGCCTTTTAATGCTGTCCACTGTCTTCCTTCGTGTATGTTAGCATAAAAACTGATCAGTGGTGGTATTTTTCTACTTTCAAAAATTGCTAATTGAAATAAGAAAATGCTAAAAGAAATTTGTACCCTTTAGCAAATTTTGCTAATCAAAAATAATGACTAGAGTGAGCACAGATAACAGAAAGAAAACGAATAAATTGTATCAGACTAAACACTAGACGATTTCCTCTAGCAATTTTCACAGCTAATACGGCCCTGCATACAATAGCAAATGCAAATGTACAAAATGTTAACAAAAGCGCTAGATTATAGGGGATAATAAATAGGATTGATGGTTAATGTTTTTAAATAATGCCTCCATGGTCGACACGTCTGCCACAAACCCAGCAAACATTGAACGTTATTAAAGCGTTACCATAACGTTATTATGACCAAAGAACGATATGGTCACGTTATGGTAACGTTATAAAACGTCATAAAACCCTTCTCCTCGTTTATTGAGAATCTTTTTAATATTTCTTTTAGATCTACGCCATGGTCTGTGTATCTTTCTACTACCAGCAATTAGTTGATGGCGGCGTCCAACCAAAAGTGTAGATCCGCACAGAATGAGTAGGCGCCTTCCCATTGGTAAAAAGAGAGGCCGTTTTTGTACGTGCATGTAGTCTGATTCAATAACCGTTCCGTAATGTTATATGTAGGTTTAGGCTAGAATAGTTTTTAGACTTGGGTCAAATTGTAATCATTTAATGTACGAGTAGCATTATAGGTGATTCATGCCAATTACACAAAGCCCTTGTCTTTTATAGAGACTAATTGAGATATTACCCAAGAACATATTGTATTGTATTGTATAGATGGTGAAGAATGGGTTTATGTTAATATTTTAGGCATCTATTGGCATTTTTATATATAGGAAATAGGAAGATTAGTTGTTTGGTATTTTCAGTATCTTAATAGATATTTTGCTTACAAAGTAGACGAGAGAGATTCAATCTATACGTTTCTAGCAGGTTGGTTCCTGTTGGACCAGAACTTGAAGTTTATAAACGGCGAATATGCGACGGGACCTTTTAAAAATTATAGATTAGCATTAGTTTTTTTTTTTATAGATAATGTGCCTTAGTGCAGAAAAATGTTTTATTTTTTCATGATACATATATTTTCTCATAATTTTTCTTATCGCTTACAAAGGCATAATTATACATATTGTGTTTTTGATAAAAATTTACATCTGCTATCCGTGATGAGAACTTTTAAATAAAAAGTAGCCAGCTTAAGAGGTTTTTGTTGCTTGAAGCATGTATTTCCAATTTCATTTAACAGAAATGTTTTTCAACTGCAAAATATGTAACATCAATGAGACAAAAGGGTTTTTTACAATTTCTTCATTTTAATACCGTTATGGGTTGCTGTATATTATAGAATTGCAGGCAAATGCCGTGATGATTTACAAGCTAATGGTCCGGGAGAACCAGAGCCTTGAGTGGAAATGGTCTCGCTTTGCAATATGTTAGATGATTAAAAGGTAGATAAAATCTAAGACCTTTAGATTCCCTTGGTATCGCTGCTGTTGAAAGTATAAACTACATTGAAACAAACTATGTTGCTAATGCTATCATTTATTGCAAGGAATAGAGCTTATGCTCAACCTGTGTAAGAAGTTTTCTCACTGTGCCATTTCACTCCCATTCATCTCTGGATTGAGCCGTTTACAAATGTAAAATCGCTAGTCTACGCAAGGAACCTGCACATTGAGAGAATTATGCACCCATTTCTGACAGTTAAGTTAAATTGTCTAATTATATTGCCTTTAATTGCTTAAAATGAAGGATTGTTTATTGACATTATTCAGGAAACAATGCTGATTTTTTTTCAACTTACAAGCACTGTGGTATATGCTGGCTAGAATTGTTTATTTGTATCACTTTTTTTTCTACGAAATAATAAAATACCTCCTCGTCACAAATGTGTCTTATCGCTGTGTCTGAAAGCAAGTGCCATTGCCTGGAATACACTCCAACATGGTGAAAGTTTTCTCAGATAGATAATTGACCATGAGGGCGACCTTTGCAAATAAGGGATTAACGCGTGCAAATTGAAACTGGACATAGCGATACAAAAAGGTTGTGAAACGTTTATCTTCAGCATAGTAGAGCCGTTCGTTGTTTGTGAATTGCCAGGTGTGATACATGCACGTTACGTCTTTCTTTTTAGCGAATTAATACGTATCAAAAGAATCAATCGGCGGATTATGGGATGGCACAGTAATAATTGGAAAACAAGCATGGCAATTTCGAAGCAAGACTGTTTATTGTACAATATCAGCATACAAAAGTCGTTACAAAATTAGCTGAAATGGATACACGTTATATTGCAGAGTAGAATACAAAAATGACATGTAAACCCTTCTTTGAAATGTGAGAATTAAAACTTTGTAAAAGTGAACTTTGTAAAAAAATACTAAAAACTTCATGAACAGGTGATATAGTATGCTGTTGCTTTTACAAATATATACTTAGTGATATGGGGTTAACGTGAACCAGACATAAACCAGGAAATGCAGTATCTTTACCCTGCTCTAAATTTAGAGAAAACACATCTAGCCTTCAGCGAAGACGCACCAAGCTTGGATTCTGACCAACTTTGGTTTAACGGGGTTCACGTGGTCAATACATTTGGTCTTATTGCGCTCCGTTTTAGACGAAAATCAGCTAAAATCTGGGTTTTAAATAATCTAGGACCGAGTCCGAATTGAATTAGAAAAAAAATATTTTGTTTTATGTTTGCACTGCGTCCGGCAAAATGTTTCTACGGTCGTTAAATCAGTTTTCTTACGCATAAACGAAATGATGAAAACATTGTAAATTCAAGCCTTTCCAAGCAAACAATATCTGTATATATCAATCGCATTTTGTCCTGGCATGACGTCATGGTGCGTCAAAAGTGACTTCATTACATAGGCCTAAATGGGTGGATAACAGTCGGCTACATTAGAATAATTCAGTTTTTTATTTTGATAAATTAACGATAAGTTCTGATTACCTCATTTTTTAATTTTAAACACAGTAAAATACCTAAGCGCAACTATATAAACCAGCAAATCCTATTCTTATCTTTAAACAAAGTCAAATCCTGATCTTGATAGCTTGACATTTATTTCCAAAGTACATAGACGTTCAACATACACACAAAAAAAAGAAAAAAAAATCAACGCTGCCTAGATATCTACTACACAGCCCAAGCTGCTGGAGGCCCAGATTGAATAATATTTGTCCTGCTAAGTAGAAACGGTTTACAACGCATGCGCAGAATTCTTTCAAAATTACGAACGCATGGTGTTTCCTAGCTGTTTGTAGAAATAGATCACTCCTACTAGAGCGTAAATCTGAAAGAAAACGAACAAAATATCAAAATTATGGAAGTAAGCAGGGATGAGGAGGGGTCATTCCTCTACCTCAACATTTAGTTTTCCATTTTTGAGAAAGATTGACTTTCTTCGAATATTGCTTGCTAATATTCTCTACTGTGAAGCGAAATTATGTTCTGATGAAATTGATAAAACCTGTTTAGGCGAACGTCTGGACTGAATTGAAAACAAATCGAAATCTCATTGGAATAGCAAGTGAGTTAACCATCCCACATAAACTGCATTATCGAAGATCCATGTACTTACGAATAACGCAAGAATAAGTAACCCAATGACAACGCTAAGCCAGTAGCCAGGAGCGTCGACTGTAAAATAAATTGATAAAAGAAAATGATCATATAATCAAACAAAAAAAAATTTGTATACATTGACTCCTCTATTTACATACTGTAAAACCTCAAACCAGCAAGTGATGAACATGTCTTTACCAAAACCAAACGCCACCAAAATGCAATCAAGATTCCAATGAATTGAGGCAATTTTTCAGAATATACCGTTCGTTAACTTTGCCTTATAAAACCTCCCAAGTAAAAAAGCAGCTTACTTGCCACTATGATATAGAAGATAACTGCCATGGGTTTCAAATATACAATTCGTCTACTTTACATTAAGGCTTCGTTCACATGCAATGTCTATTTTCTAAATTCTACTTTCTATTCGCGCTATCTTATGATCACGGTGTGTGCACTGAATATCCCGCCGCGTAATTACTGGCAGCGCGAGCCAGTTACTTATAGTAACTTAAAGTAACTGGCTCGCGCTGCCAGTAATTACGCCGCGGGATATTCAGTGCACAGACCGTGATCATAAGACATACCGAAAATAGAAAATAGAATTTAGAAAATAGACATTGCATGTGAACGAAGCCTAAAAAAGTCCTGCATAAAAAGGGCAACTTACTTGCAACTATGATATAGAAGATGATCGCGATGAGTTCGAAGACACACAGCGCTAACGTGGCCACAAACCAGGGCCAGAACCACACCCGGTTATTCTGAAGTCAATAATAATAATAATAATAATAATAATAATTACTCATATTGGATTACATGCAAGTTTTTAAAGAGTGATAGAAATTAATACACATTAGGACAATAAAACATAAAAGAAAAATCCACTGATTAAAAATACAAAATCTGAACCCCGTTCCTTTATAAGACAAACCACCCAGACCCTATCGTACTAACTTTGGATCGAACTCCTAGGGGATTCTCGCTTAATTGCAATCAACTCAAGCGGATTAGATGTCTGCCCCGCCTGCTGAAGCCGATAGGGGGTAATTAGCTATCGTTTAGCAGTTTTAGTAGGCGTGCCAGACATCGAAGCCGCTTAGGCTGAAAGCAACCTAGCGAGAAACCCTTGGAGATGGACCGATCCTGTTGGATCGATCTAGTATGGGAATGGGGTCTTACCTTAGAGATGCCGATCATGAGCAGCACAGATGCCACGACTATGAAGGCGGCAAAGATGATCCCCAGGTAGAAGGCCCATCCTCCACCTGTGTTCACACCGAAGTATGAGCCTGCCCCTTGTCGGTCTCTCTCACTAACTGAAAGAAAAGTTAAAACCGTGGTCAGTAGAACTTAAGTTGCTTGTACATACGGGATAATTCCGAGCCAGTGTGACAGGAATGGAAGTCCGCTAATATCCGTAGTTCGTTTCCCATTACTTAATTTGTACAGGTGCCATTCTTCCCATATAAATACCCTATTACACTCCGACTTACCCTTACCTGTACTTATTATATGGGACAACTGACTGCTATTCCTAGGGCTACCATTTCTGCCACACCGGCAAGGAAGGAACGCCCTTTAGTGGCAAGAATTCTGTTTGGTCCCAGTGGGCTTTAGAAGTACGGTAACTGTACAGTATTACTCGGGCATGGTTATATATGTATATAGTTATACAATTACCAATACAAAACCATGGCAGTTAAGTACTATTTCTCAGGCAGAGAAGGAGATAACCAGCGCTTCCATTCGGAGGTGTTTTCAATCTCAAGTTTCCGATGCTTCAATTTAAGTTTTCGTATATGCCCCCTCCCCTTTCGATTATGTGCACGCGTGGAAATGGGGAACCGAAACAAAGAGAAAAAAGAGTTGACGTGTTTGATAAGATTAAAATATTAATGTTTACCTGCGACCGCCTCGTATATGTACCATGCCAAAGAGAGGATACCAATGACCTGAAATGCAAAAATAAACAAATAAATAAAAAAATAAATAAAAATGATAATAATAAGAAAAAACTATGATAATGGATAAGAAATATCATCGATTAATAAACAGATATATTACAAGGAACAGCAAGAAAGTATACGTAGTAGAACTTTTTTGACATTTCTTAATACCAAATAGTGATTCAGCCGACCTCATAATTGCACAGCAACGAGCACCTCGGTGTTACATTTTACTGGTTGGGTATATCATTTCTTTAATTTAGAAAATTTAGAATTCTACTCAATAAAATGTTAGTGCAGACAGAGAGAAAGAAAGAGTTAATTGGTCCTCATGCTTGATACCGGCCAAATATAGCCGTGGGGAAGCCGGAGGCACACAGTTGCTGACAATAAATTTGATTGTTTTATATAGGTTACCACATTTTTATAGTCTGCCTGTGTGATTCATCGTGACCTTGCATTACAGCAAACTGAATTGCCCTTTGTCCGCCCACGCATAAACATAATGCACAACTAATAGCATAGGATGAGTGCAAATCCACCCGTGCTCTTTATCAAGCACAGATCTGTTTATGCATATAGTATATATAGACATAGCAGTCGCTCTGTTTGTATAGGTACGTCTGTCTGTCCGTCTATCTAAGTTTGAAAGGCCGTCTGTCTGTTTGCTATCTGTTTGTTTATCTGACACTTTGTCTGACTGTCCGTCACCCGCTGACACCGTATATTTCATCCTGACGGGTACCGCCAGCGCACGTCTTCTAAAATTACACATGCGTGCCTGGGATGCTTAAAGCAATAACTTTCACCTAGGCGGTATGTGCGATATGGCTCTGAAACCTGTTCTAATATTTATTGCTGCACAGGTGGAGGTGCACCCTGTGTCTGGAGTCTCAACGTTAATGCTGACGGTTGTGTTAGTAAAGACACGGCGCCTTTCCCCTTCCAAAGATGTTGTCGGCAACACAACGTCACAGAGAACATCGACATTGGTGAACACCGACAATGGCGAACACCGACTTTAGACAACACCCATGTTGGTGAAAACCCAGATCAGAGAACACCGACAATGGTGAAAACCGACACTGGTGAACACTGATATTGGTAAAGATCGACATTACAGAACACCGACATTGGACAACACCGGCATTGGTGAACATCGACATCGGTAAACATAGACATTGGTTATCGCGACGTTGGTATACACCGACATTGGTGAAAACCGATATTGGAGAGCACCGACAATAATAGAGAACACCGACATTGTAAGGTGCAGAAGCCGATCCAAGGGTACCATCGGCAGATTACCCCCGACCCAAGAGCTCTTCCCATGCCTTTTAGTACCCCTCTACCTTCCATGATTTTGGCTCGAGGCAGAGAGGTGCGCAGAAATGCCAAGAGAAGCAATTTGTATATTGTTTTAACACCTGCGGCGGTAATATTATCCTGAGTGGCGTGCTGTAGAAAAAGGAGGGCGTTTGAATTCAACCTTTGCCGTTCATCTAGGCGGGAATGAAAAACAACACCCATTTAGTGTAAACATACAGAAGATAGTAGAAAACGGATTTTTAGATAGAATTACATTTACAACCAATTATCATAAATGCTTTAAAAAAACTCATTTCTTTATTTTGATTTTTCTTGAGTTAAAAAAACAAGACATTCAATATATCGTTCTTAAACACTCCACATTTGTGCATAATTGAATTAATTGTGAACGTGGCATTATCAGAATAACTGTTTTTGAAGATTAAAATATTTCTATTTAATTGCCATAGATAGAGCACCTACATCAAGGCATTATTGCACCAAATTATCTGTGACTTTATGCTCATCATCATCATCATCATCATCATCATCATCATAATAATAATAATAATAATAATAATAATAATAATAATTATTATTATTATTATTATAGTCTTCCATGCCACAAAATTGAAAAAGATGAGCCTTTAAAAAAACAACAGCGGACAACAGAAGACACATAGACTGGCGTAGGGAAATGCCCTTTTTTGATTAAGCTTCTGGAACAATAGTAATTTTTTTTTTTTTTTGCAAAACAGGTGTAATGAACAAAAATTTTTTAAGTTTGAAATTATGGGTAAATGATATATCGCTCTACACAATAAGTATTCTAATTATACAAATAAAGCCTACATTTAAACAATTTTCTTTATTTGGCACTATCACTTTGTTTTCCTTTGGAGCATTCACTTATGTAGTTGATGAGATATGATCTTTTACCACTATACAATAGCTACATCAGCGATGCTGATTGGATATCTAACAGTTTTTTAATTATCCTAAATGATGCTAAATCAGCTCCGTTAAGAGGAAAACATTGGCCAGAAAGAGCACATTCCAAGAATCGGCGAAGAATTCATTTAAGGAATAGGTGGCGTATTGATCGCCGAGGCATGCGGTTACTGCTGATAAGAAATATATTGACCGGACCGCAGCCCGACCTTTACCGCCGCGAATGTCACTGAAAACAAAAACGTGTTCTGAAAAAAGTGACCTATTTTCCCCCTAATTTCGGCTTGATCTTATTATCTAAAAACGAAGCATTTGTTTGGAGAAGTGGCCCGAATCCAGGGTTCTAGCATGGCGCCAATGAAAACCCCAAGTGAAAGAAATACTGTATACTAAAAACATTGCCTCGTTTCGACTCGTTTTTACGCAGCCATTTGAAATATTCAAAACGAGACCCTGGAGAGAAAGCATTAGAGTGCAATCATCTATTAAACTGGGTTAAATCGCCTCTCTGCGGCTTCCCTACAAATAACAGCAAATGGCAAACCTATCTATCATGCCTGGTTAGATGATACATGTTTACATAGATCCTCTATTGGTCTCCTGGAGAGCTCAAATCTATGGAGGATATTTTGAGTGGGACGCGGTCTCCACGCGCTTGTTGTTCACAGTTTGAAGGCAATGGGCAGGGCCCATGATTAATAGTAAGATACTGTTGTTTATAGCATTTGGAACCGCCTGTACGGCTGCTTATACTGTATGCAATGTAGAGAACTCTACTACACCACATAATTTTGAAGTCGTCAAATCTAATACACTCATATCTAAAATACATTGGTATAAGGTTTTAATAGGGATATGGTGGAATCAAGACGGTTAGAGGGGTGTGGGAGAGGGGGGTTAAATTAGATTTCCTAGAACAGTAAGTATTTAACCAGCAAATATTGATCTATTGCTCCCCCCCCCCCAGCAAACTACAGAATCAGATTGAACATAATGTATTTGCTTTGAAAAATATCTAAACATCACAGGCTGTTGGTGAGGAGAAATGCATTTTGTGCGAGTTCACACATCTGAAGATAAAACACATTTAGGAATTCCTTTTCCTATCAAGGGCACCAATATCTTATCCCCAGAATCGTTTTCGAGAAACAACACTACTATACGCCCTAGTTTCTAGAGTCGTTTCCTTAGCAAGCAATATCAATTTTTCAAGGCAAAATCTGCTGAAAATGTTTGTAGCCGCACACGCAAAACAGATTGAGATTAAAGTTCAAAGCAAAAATGAAACACGTGCATTCCAATTAAAGAAAAAAGAGTAAGTTACTAGAAGGAAACGAATGGGAAAATAATACTAAAATGTTTACGCGCGTTGCAATTTTGGATAAGTTTTCATATTTCTATTATTAATTGCTAAAATGGAACCAAAAGGAGGATAACATGCCCAAATGTTTACTCAATTTCAATTTTAGTCTTATGAATGTCAAAATATCACCTTACCAGTGTCAGAATTGAACTGGCCCACGATCCTTGTCTAAGATTGCAGCAACAGCAACAGCGTTCCATTTTTGCGACTGCAACGTTGAGCTACGCCCAAAATTATGAAGAGGTAAGGTCACGTCTGCGCAGCGCGGATGAGAGAAGAGCTATTTCACTCCCTCGCGCGATCTCTTCAGTGACGTCATCGTGCGAGCGAAATCCGCCTTGCTCTCAGGTCATGATGAGGGGTAACCTTAGTAATACGAAGGATATGGTTTTGTGGGATGTTTAGGGCTGAGATAAAACAAGCGCTTTGCCACTCAATATCATCTTGCGTGATATTGTAGGCCTGATTGAGTCTACATAACTGTGGAGGGGTATCAAATCTGAAATTGATCGAGATAGATAGAGATTTGTATTGGAGGCCGTGATCCTGTATACTAAAGTAATTAAATTAAATCGCGAATTAAGGGAAATTTACATTGTCGCTTCTGTACGTCGCTCAGCGCACTCTGGCGGTCGTCGTTCAAAGGATTTTCTCTCAGTTCTTCGTTTGGTAACTGCAGGTTCTCCTTATAGAAGATGTGACAGAGCTTTCACCTGCCTTAGTAAATGTTTGAGGCACGTTTTTTGGTTGACGCAACCGCTCATTGTTTTTAGCTTTGTTATTGAATATGCTTATTAGCTATCGAATGCATACCACAGGGTACATGTATACTTAATTCAGTTTTAAAGACATTTCATTTTAATTTAAATATACCGAAAAAAATATCCAGTAGCTTAAGCAAGTTTGTTTTCGTACAGTCACTTGTTCTTATTGTTCAATAAGTTGAAGTGTTTAAAATATATTTTAGAATATTAATGAAGGTTTGTACGAGGCGTAAATGAAAATAATTTGCTAGATTATCATAAAAGCATTTCTCTTTAATAAGGAGTGATTTTACATACATGTATATTGGTGCATTGTCCTCTTGTGTTTGAAACAGTGCCAGGCCTTACAAAAGGATTAGGCGTTTACTAACACTATACCGGCAGATCTAACACCCATATATTAACCACCTAACCCACAAATTAACCAGCACTACCAGAGAGAATGAATGTTAGCGCTTGGTGTTAATTTGTTGGTGCTAAATAATTTTACGCTGTGTTGGTGCATTTGTGGGTGAGGTGGTTAATATGGGTGTTAGTGCTAAAAGGTCTGCGGGTAGTGTCAGTAAATGCCTAATCCGTTTTGGAACATTTTGGAGAATTTTGGAACATTAAATTGTTAGTTAAATAAATAAATCTTTAAGAAGTGTTCAAGCAGGCCGTGTAAAGAGTACAGATCTGATCTATTCCGTTTGACCTTTTGATTTTTAGTTTCAATTAGGCGCTTTGAAAGAGTTTCTTGGAGCGAGCGATATACCATAAAATGTGAACTTGAACAAGAGTATTATACCGCCCTAAAGCAATAAGGGTAGATAATTTGCGCGAAGGTGAAGGTTTTTGCACATTTTGTTTGTGTCTTCACCGTTTGAAGGATTGTTGCATAACAAACATGGCAATGGCAAGCATCACATTATGCAGTTACATATAATATTATATCAGTGAAGACGCAATTAAGTTCTAAATCCCAAAATATTCTTTCACAATTGTTATGTTAAAAAAACTGCGTCTTTTGGGCTCTTATTTAATATCTGTGCTGTGAAAGATTTGAAAATTAAATCATATAATGAACTTCAATATTGCCGCACGGTTATAGCAAAGCAGGATTCGACCCTTGCCAGTAGAAGTACGTGCACCTGATAGGAAGATTATCTACTAGTCATATATTTGCCTTGACTTAAAGGGATAATAACTCTTCGTTTTGGCCAAAAATGAATTTTTCTGGAGTAAACAACAATTTTCCCATACTTATCAAGGGTTAATGAATCCATTTTTACATTCAAAGTTAGTCTCTGTTTTTTTTCTAAAAAATTTTTTTTTGTTATAATCTCTTAAGAGATTATAACAGAGTATAGCCATCAATGGAGGACACGTGGTCTAAAGACAAGCTCAGTTAGCTATAACTGCCGTTTTTGTGGAAAAACAGAATGTATTATATTTCTATGAGTTGTTCACAATGTTTTTATTGTGAAATATAGATCTCATACGAAGAGTCATTATCCCTTTAATCTTTTTATGGGATATAGCAAGCCAAATGGAAAACAGCCATGCAGGTCAGGAAGACGCTAGAGGGTCTACAGACACAGCTTAAAACTGACATTGATGTGGATCCAACTTAGGTCACCAAGCTTACCAAAAGGCTGCAGATGTTCTCCCTTTCCTACCCCGGGCAAAAGTAAACCTGAACTCCGGGGGGGGGGGGGCTTTGTGGTTTTGAAACCTTCTTCATGAGCACCCGAATAGCGACAGTATGGACCAAAACTCAGATACACACTCATAATGTTAGGCTGTGTAGACTTCGTCCAATATGTATAGGCGTCCAATCTCTGGATTAGGTTTTGTCTTTAGTTAAGAGGAGACTATAAAGACACATACACTGTATGCCCTACAGATGGGGAGAAATCTCTTTTAAGATTTACAAAAAATCTAATAAAGAAATGTCATCACCCCATGACGTTATTTATTAGATTTACACCAAGCCTTCTTTTTTGGAAAGAACGTAATCCTTGGTCACTTTGTTGATCACGATTCCTTTTGCCATATTTCAACCTTATTTGTTTCAAATTTAAAACATCAGAAAGATTGAACATATATGTACAATAATGGTTTCTTTCTTAGTCTGGATTTTTATCTGAATGAGTTAAAACAAAACAAAAATTGGCCTGGATCAAATTGTTTTAAAGTACCTCACAGTGAATATGCGTTTGTGGTAAGTGAGAGATAGAATGTAGTAAAGATCACTCACGAGCCATTCCAAAGAGTATTTCATATTGAAACAACATTAACATCCATACATCAGAAGGCACGATAGCCTATGGCCCATAGTTTATAATGATGGCCCACGAAAAATGACCATTAATAGACCATTCAGCGTTCCACATCGCTTGCCCATTTATAAGCCAAAGAAAAGACGAGCCATGGTATGTGGTGGAGATGTCTAATGCTCGTGTTTCCTAGATTTTCTATCTAGCTGGGTGAAAACAACAGCTGGGAAAACAGGCCTATACTATAAACTGAAGAACGACTTCATCAGTTTTTTTTAAAGATTACTGGTTAATCAATTCGCCATGTGATATTCTATCATCACAAGCTCCCACCCCTCAATTTTTTTTATCTTTTCAAATCCGCCAGAGGAACGGGCTTTTTTAAACCTATAGTTTGAAACGCCCCTCACAAACCCCTTTTCAGCTACCAGTCGCAAATAAAGTAAAGAAGCAGAGATCGTATCCACCACCTTCAGTAATCTGAATCAGTGTGTTACACATTTTACAGCCAATGTTGCGGGTCGTCTTGACCTGATGAGCAGCAGGCATCCTAGAGACTTTATCCCATCGTCCGCTGCGAGTGCGTGTTTGTTTGAGCATGTGCGTGTGTGCTTGCGTGTGTTCTATTGTACATGTTTGCGCGTGCCCTTGTTTGTACACACGTGCGTCAGCGTTATTTGCAGACAGCGTATTTTTGGAGCCTCTAGCAGTGCCACAGAAAAAAAAAATAAAAATAAAAAAGTCTACTTTATGAGAATCCTATACCAAAGTCGTATGAGCGTTATCGCTTACAAGTGGCCCTAAAAAGCTTTGAAGAAAACATCACTGTACTCAAGTGTATCTATATGTGAGCCAGTTCACGTTACTGCTGACATTCCCATATCCTCTCTATCACTTCTACTTGACCTTTACCCTGGTTATCAAGCTTCTTTCAGTGACATATATGTTATATTTATAAATTCACTTGTGAATTCGGTCCCATCTGTTAAAAGTTTTGTCACATCGTGTTAAAAGCTTCGTAAGGGAATTTGATAATTGTTTTTTTTTAACGCATATCTGCATTAATTGCATATCAAAAGCTTCTTTGTAGTCCCGACTGACCAGAAAAATATAATAGAAATCTCATGCGAATTTTATCTGTTACAGAAAAAAGTCATTATGACCTTATGATAATCAGGGTGCAATTCTTTTAGACAAGAAAAATTACAAGCAAGCCAGCAGTCAAAACAATCAATCTTCTTGATAGCCTAAGAGAACAAAATCATCACCCTGAGTTTCATTGTGTAGTCAAACCCCAAACCTCAAAGAGATTAAAACTTTTTTCAAAGGTGATATTTGAAAATAGACAAATATAGAGGAAAGGAGACGCATCATATGAAATAAAATGTGAAAAACAATATAGACCCAGGGCGCAAAAAAATAAAGCCTCTCACGCTGTTTGCGCAGATTGAACATGTTATCTGGTAAGAAGAGCGCGTGTAGTTGCCGATAACGATGAACTTTTTCGAGCAGGCCTTCCGGGAAACGGGAAGTGTCGTGTTCTAACTGATGGGTCTTAAAAAGACAGACGCTCTTAAGATAAAAACAAAATCGGAAAAAGTACAGTTGAACGAGTCGGCGTAGGAGGTGGTTTTCTATTTTTTTTTTCCTTTTGTGGGTTATTTGACTCAAATAGAGCATACCGGTCATAGCTGATTTATAGCAGACATGAAATTGTGGGAGGATGAAGCTAGGCTGAGCAATATACCAGTCTCGTTTTGGAAGGTGGGATACTGGCAGCGATATCAACGAAACCGAGGTCTCACTCCATCTCCTACATATTGCCGTTGCCTGTCGCAAAGGTCGCTTAAAATTAGACGATGTAGGGAGCTTAATTAGTGTTGTTTGCAGATCCGCCTTTGACAAGTTTCTTGATGAATCACCCAGTCGACACGGTCCTTCAAACACGACCGCACCAGCTAGGTGATGATGTGTTAGAGGTGAAAGCTTGCTCAAATGCAATACGTCTCTACCAATTCCTTTAGTTGAGACGGGATAGGTGTATCAGATCAGGGAATTAAATTCCCTGCTCAGATTGAGTCTGAATCTGGCTACATGAATCCAGGGAATTATATCCTTTATATTTCCCTGATGAATCATAGTATTTTAACCAATAAGAACAAAATAGACTAAGAGAGAGAGAGAGAGAGAGAGAGAGAGAGAATCCAGCCTGTTTGATTTTAGAGTGCCTAAACCCGCCAATGGTCATTTTCGGTAATGGAACCCGAACGCAAACAATTATTTTCATTTTGGAGTTGCGACTTTTTTCCTCTGCCTCCTATAAAAGCTTTTCACCTGCGCCGTTCAGGTATATTTGATTTGTTCTTAACCCACATCAGAGAAGCAATTAAAATATTTGAGATGAGCAGAGCCGTAGGTAATCATTAGATAGGGTTATCGATTTTCACTGATACATGATATGAACTTGTGCCATGTTGTCATTTTTCTAGAATTCCGTGATTTGTCAAAAGCCTACAAAAGGGGCATTTGGTCATAACGGTACACGACTGTCGCTGACATTTATCAGAATTTAAAAAAAATGAATTCAATGATTTTTCGTGAGAGAGAGAGAGAGAGAGAGAGAGAGAGAGAGAGAGAGAGAGATTTTATGTCATTAATAATCGATGACTCACACTCGGGTATTCAGGTACAACTATACACGGAAAACCATATTTCCATGAGTGCACCTGGAGGCCTTCATAGAAAACGGAGATTTGGGGACCGAACCCTGCAACGAGACGTCGTCAGTACTCGTCTGTTTTTACCTGGGCCCTCTGTCAGAGTGAGAGTTGTATTAAAAGGAGTGGGGGGAGGGGCAGGGACGGAAAGACATAATATGGGGCGGATCCAGAGATATTTCCTGACAGTCTTCCAAATTATCTTTGTTGATCCGTTCTTCATTTTTGACCGTCTTCCGACAGAAAAAATTAGATACCCGCTAATGTAAACTTGAAAATCTGACCGTCTTCCGGAAGACCCAGAAGACGCCCTAAATCCGCCCCATATGATATGGTCTGGATACTTGCAGACTGTCACATAACAGCGCATTCAGAACAGATATGCAGTTCAAATATGGCCGACCCACTTAAAATGCCTGTTGCGTTATCCCCGCGGGGAATCTTTTCAGTGTTTTATTGGGAGTTAAGCAACAAGCTTTTAGTGGGTCGCCATATTTGATCCGTGGAACCATTAGTACGCTGTTCTGAAGTTGATTAGTAACGAATCCAGGGTTATGGCACCGGGGATAGGCTAGTGAGAAGATTTTTTTTTTATTTTCTAATTTCATTTTCTCAATTTTAATTTCTTTTTTATGGGGGGAGGGGGGGGGGCTAAACGCTCCATACCCTTTTCTGCATTTAAATGAGCACACTAGCCTTTACTATTTGTCTATCAGATGTTTATTTGCACAACCTGACAATTATAGCTATATCTGGAACAGAGGAAAAGTAAACTTCACGAGACACACATAAAGAATAATCCTATAACATCCGTCAATAAAGCTCGTTCCACGCCCTACAGCAACTGAATCTTCGGTAAAGGTCGAGGATTAAAAAAATACTGAATACAGGTTCCCGCATTGACATATCGCATGCCTGCAGACAACAGTACAGGGAATTCTAATTGCTTTTGTACCATTTCAAACAGTCAATTACCATATGTCTTCGCCTGCATTTTTCTATCGACAACTTCATCATGCCTTAGCCTTCATTTTCACCTTACGTTCGTTGGCAGGACGCGTTAATAGTGTAGAAGGCATATATGTATTGCTGCTTTGTCATTTCTGAAGCCTCTAAACAATAGCGCAGGCTATTTTAATTTGCTGCTCTGACATTAAAACCTACAACAGTTATTATTGATTGTTCATGATGGTTGAAAACGGATCGTCACGTGATGGGTCGCCGCTAGGTCAGCAGACGACGCAAGGTAGCAACCTCACATTCAATACCCACACAATAAATTCTTTGACGCTAAAACGAGGCTCTGTAAAGGAGAACGTCGCTCAGCATCCAGCGCTCTTCCCGCCTTGTTAATAATATTATTAGCATACGTAGGACAACAGCGCGATCCAACAAAGCGGACGACGCCGTGCAGTGAGTGACAATATTCCAATCTTACTACTACTACTACTACTACTAATACTACCACTACTACAACTACTACTACGAAGTCAACGACAAAACTCCAAAAATGCAGAAGTGCTGTTTCTGTTGCAACCTTCGCCAAGGAACGATTACCAGTACGATATATTCTCTGGTAAGTGTATATGTTTATGACACCTGCGCATTTATTGTGTCCAGTGTTTGAAATGCACACCAAGCCCTTTACCGCAGAGCAAGAGAAAGCTTGAAAACTAGGAAAGGAAGACAGATAAATGTCTGTCCTTTCTTCAACTCGTGAAATTCTCGGGTGACATTTGGTGGCATTCTGTGGGAGAGTGTCACATAGGCCCTGTGGTTGACCCGTGTTGCATGACCGAATTTGGATATATTACATATAACAAAATGGTCTCAAGTAAATTGTAAACCTATATTTACTTAAAGTGATCCGAGGGTTCTGATGTCTCTAAGCGGGGATATTTCTGCGCACTGCATAAAGACCCCAAACGTCGTTGGATTATTCAGCGCCTTGAGAGGAATTTGATTGACCTACTTAATGGTTATATACTGAGGTTATCGGTGTCTTTCTTTAGGGGTTTTTGTAATGCAAAATGCTGCTTTTGTTGGCTTTTCACCAAGAGTCTGCTGTATGCGTTGCCTTTACTTTCAAACGTTGTTGTTTTACTACAACGCACTACCTAGTACAAAAAAAGTGAAAGCATTTTCTCTTTTTACGTGTCATTTTCTTTATTTCAGAGAAATATTATTAAGTAAATGAGAAATATCAATTAAAAAATACAGTCCATCATCTGATGACTGTCTCGACAGCGACAGAAAAACGTAGGACCGGTTAAAATTTACGTGACATCACCAAACGACCTAATTACTTACACGGCAATAGTCGGAGTAAAATATTCAGCCATCGCCTGTTCACAGAAATAAGGCCAGCGGAATATTTCATCTCGGGCATGGGAGTGGGGGGGGGGGGGGGGG